AGCGACACTTCCTGCCTTCGCACAGCCTGCTCCATGGCAGAAGGAGCACACCCTGCTACCCTCCCAGCCTGTGCCCCAGAAATACCCCAGCCCCAACCACATGCAGATGCTGGCTGGGCTCTGGGGCAGCAGAGGGGACCTGCCCAGCCCCAACCCCAGGAGTCATGGGCTGCAGAAGTGGAGGGACACATAACAGCATGGCCATTGGTGGGCTCCCACCAACCTGTGCACACCTAGGACATGGGCTCAGCCACAAAAACAATCAAGTCAGCCCAGGGCCTCACATGTCTGTTATCCTGATAGGCGACTCGTGTTTTACCTCAGGATAATTCACATTTCCTGAGGAGAGCCTAGATGAAATTAAAACTGCAGAAGGGCATTTCTGTTGACTCACATGTCCCGAGATAACCATGCACTGAGTCCCGCTGGCCCTGGGTGCCTGGATCACATCATAGTCAGTGTGTCCCAAGCAGCTCACCATCTCTTCCCCACACCTGCTCCCGCTCAAGCCTCTGTAAGCCAGCAAATGACATCAGCAGGGAGCCCAGGCCAGAACTCGGGTGTCACCTGCCTTTCCCCTCTCCTCCACTGCAGCCCTCACTTCCCAAGCCGCTGCACTCACCTCCCAAAGGGCCCTCTTGCCCACCCTGGCTCTGCCTTCTTGAACACCATGCTATTCCTCCTGACAGTCGGTCAATTAAATTCAAATCAACCATTACATTTAGTTTTAGGTACAGCAAAAGCAAGGGGCTGGGGGAGGCAAGGAACCCAGTCCCAGCCATCACTCAGTTGCTATTTCTGGAGCACCTCCTCTGTGCTGGGCCGTTTCCTCAAAGACCTCCCTGCCCTGGAGGAGATCTGCATCAAAGAACGCTCTTTCAGGATGAGCAGAGGACTACTTTACCAATTTCAGCTGTACAGATACGCACCGCGGCTGTCCGAATTCTCTCCTCCCCTGCCAGCATCCCAGGCTGACCTTGGCTTTACAAAGGAGGACCAGGACACTCAGGTCACAGGGCCTGCATCCTCAGAGCCCCGAGTACCAGAGGAACCCCCAGAGCCTCCCTGAGGAGGGAGCAGAGGCCTCTGGGAAGAGAGTGAAGGGGCTGGGACCATGTCAGAGCCAAGACTTGGCCTCAGGTCTCAGTCCAAAACACCAGCTTTCTCTAGACCACCTCAGAGCTATTCTGGCAAGAAGGCTGAGAGATGAGGTGTTCCTTTGCCCAGTAAGTCAATCTGACCCTGGAAGTAGCTAAACGAAGGCGCTGACTAGTCCCTGGTGTTTATACCAGGCATGGGAGCAGGGACCCCGTGCAGCCCTCAGATGGGTGAGGGGCATCCTGGTGAGTGAGGTGGCACACCCTGCACAGACTCACGCACCCACTCACCCCACACACCAGGCACAGGGGCAGGGACCCCATGCAGCCCTCAGATGGGTGAGGGACATCCTGCTCAGTGAAGTGGCACTCTGCACAGACTCAGGCAGCCACTTACCCCCACACACCAGGCTCCCGCTGCCCAAAGTTAGGGCAAGGAGCAGCCCTGTGAGCAGGTAACTACACACTACAGACCACCCGCCCGCCCACCCATGGTCTGAGCAGGAGACAGAAAGCAGTGAGAGGAGCAGGACATGCATGTGGCTTCGAAAGGCCTGTGCCATACTCCACACACCGCCCAAGTTCCCAGGTGCCGAGCTAATTAAGGACAGATTTCACAGACTCCCAGAACCTTCCAGATGGAAGGGAGAATCCCGGAAGATCATCTAGTCCTTGTCAGTATGTTTCTCTGCATTGATTCCAATCTATTTATCTATACCCATACCCCTGGTATCAGTATGCAGAACTGAATACAAACATTCTAAAGAAACCAAATGCCTTAGAAGTGGCAGAAAATTCCCAGTATGTGCTTTTCCAATATAAATTTTTAACCTTCACCAGTAAGGGGCTACTGATGCCCCTTTATAGGTGAGGAAGTCCCTGGGTAGTGGCAAATGGTTAATGCGCTTGGCTGCTAATCAAAAGGTTGGAGGTTTGAGTCTACCTCTGGGTGGGTACCTCGAAAGAAAGGCCTGGAAATGTACTTCAAAAAAATCAGCCACTGAAAACCCTATGGAGCACAGTTCTACTCTGACACACATGGGATCACCAGGATTGGGAGTCAACTCGATGGCAACTGTTTTTTTTTTTTTTTAAATACAGGCAGTCCCCAGGTTATGAAGTCCCACTTACGTACAACCGATAGTTACAAACCTACTCCCATAAAGCATATCAGGAAGAAACTGGCTTGGTGTTCAGGCCCTCAGGCTTCCACGACAGGCCACGCTTCTCCCATGTGGGCAGGTGCTGCAGGGGGTCCTTGGGCAGCTGATGAGGGGTGGCAGGACCCTACAACATGGTATGCCCAGACAAGGCCCACAGCAGCAAGCAGAGAGTCCCCATACAATCGCTGACCATGGAGCTTGGAAAGGGTTGGCCCCACAGTCCGCATGCCCCAAGCACTGCCAGTCTGCTCCTGCAGATTAGATACACCGTACCTAACTGCCTGACTTATGTACAAATTCAGATTAAAGACAGATTTAGGAACGGAACTCGTTTGTAATCTGGGGACTGCCTGTAGATGAGGAAAGAGACTCGGAGGGAAAGGTCAACATTGCCCAGACATATGGATTGAATTGTGTCCCCTAAAAATATTTGTTGTAAATCTTAACCCCTATATCTGTGGTTATAACCCCATTTGGGAATGAGTTTTCTTTGATATATTAATGAGACAGGATTAGTGTAGAGCGTGTCTAAAATCAATCTCTTCTGAGATATAAGAGATTAAACAAGCAAGCAAGAGAAGCAGAGATGGGGAAGGAGGCATGCCAAGCCACGTGAAGACTGCCCAAGAGAAGAAGCTCAGAAGAGACAAGGGCCTTCCTTCAGAGCAGAGACAGAAAGCCTTCCGCTAGAGCCAGTGCCCTCAATTCTGACTTCTAGCCTCCTAAACTGTGAGAAAATAGATTTCTATTTGTTAAAGCCATCCACTTGTGGTATTTATGTTACTGCAGCACTAGGTAACTAAGACACCCAGGGAGTCTCAGCTCATAGCAGTGAAACCAGATGTCTGCTTCCTGAGAATCCATGCTCCCAGGGCAGGTATGCTCCCCTAGAATAACCGGGGCTCACCTATCCTCAGGGGAACAGAGGTCTCTGTGCCCAGAGCACCTTTATGCACTCTCGCCTCAGTCTCTCTTTTTTAATCTTCAATTCTCTGAAAGCAATGACTAGAGGCTCTATAAGAAAGTTCTTTATCTTAAAAAAGGCAAGAAAATAATAAAGTCTTTTCTTCTGCCAGGTGACTCCCTGGTATACCAGGGCACATCCTGGCCCCAGCCCACCTGGGCCGCCCAGAGCTGAACTCTGGCCCCCTCCCCACCCTGTGCTGACAGCACCCGGGCCTCCGGTCCAGCTCCACAGTGAGATCATCCTTGCTGGGACGGTCTGGCTGTGGGGGCCAGCACATGGCCCAGGCTAAACACCAACAGATGAGAGGGTCAGGGAGGAATAGGGTAGCACTGGGTGCCCTGAAACAGGTCAGGCAAGATCGAAGCACTGCCCACCCAAGGTAACAGAGGAGACACTCCGGAGGCCCTGGCCCTCCCCTTCCCTGGCACACACTCTTTACCTCTGTTGGCCTCTGTCTCTGATCATCATCACTTATTTCTCCCCCTTCCTCCTCACTTCCTTTGCCAGTTCCCCTCAGTTTCCCTCCATGTACTCCCCCATGACTCTGAGCACAGGCTGGTCTCCCTCTGGGGAGGGAGTCAGGTCAAGCTCTGTGACCCCTATGTCAGGCTCTGTGTCCTACCCCCTCGGGCCTGTGCTGTCCCTGAGTACGTGAGTGTTGGCCTTGTTGTCCCTGCAGTTCTCCTGGCTGGCTGACTCCTCACCCCCACACACCCAGGTGTTGGTACCTAAGCTCACAGTGTCCAGCGTCTCCTTACCCCTAGTCTCAGCCTCTGCTTTCTCTCCTTAGATTGGCTCCCCAACCCCACCCTCTGGACCCAGCAGGCAAGCACCTCCCTTTGACTAAACCAAAGCCAGAGGTAGAAACAAAATCCCTCCCTCAAGGGCGTTCCAAGCCCACGGAGGGATGAAGTTGCAGGCCGCCACCTGCCCACGCCCACGCAGAGAAAGCTCTGAAAGCCCTCGGGGCAAAGACGTCCGTTTCCAGTGGGGGAGGAGGGCAGTCTCAGGAGCCCCCGGGAGGAGCCCACGGGAGGACGGCCGGCATCCTGGGCGGCATCCTCGCCACCATCTCGCCGGCCTGCCAGAAAGACACTGCCACAAAGTTCAGGGCTCTGCGGAGCTGGGGCTAGGAGGGCCCCAGAGTGGAGACGGTAGGGACTGAGCGCTGCGTGTGACCTTGGCCAAACCCCACTCCGTCTGGGCTTGAGGGGAGTTCATCACCCGGCATCGAGAGCGACTGGAGGGGGGGGTCAAAGTTCCCCCCCAGACTCCCGGGTTCGCAGGACCTGGAGAGTAGTCCTGCGAGCCCTGCAAGCACTCTAGACGCGCCAGAGAGTAGCCCTCTGTCCTGTTCGGCGCACCACGGGCGTGCTACAGCCCTTGCCTGGAACTCGTCCCTCCTCTGGGCTTCACAGAGGGTGGATATTTGGAGGAGGGGTTCACAGAGGGTGGGAATTTGGACTCAGCGAAAGAGTCAGATTGGCCCCTCATCAGTTGCATGACCTTGGGCAGATCTTTCCCTTGTCCATGCCGGTTTCCCAGTCGCCACACTAGACACCCAGGAACGCTTTGTGGACTGTAACTATGGAAAGAGTCTGGGCCCTGGGTGTCAGCCCCGCCTGCTTTCAAACTCGCTAAGTGACCTTGAACGCGCCCCCCATCTGGGGTCTCAGCTTCCCTACCCGCCCAATAGAAAGAAGCGCGCCCCAATCCTGGTCCCGCCCCAGCAGGTGTGCCTGAGACCGCAATAGTGGCGCCGGCGGCACTTACCGTCCTCCAGAGACATGAGCGCTTGGCGGGGACGAAGGTGGCGGTGACCAGCAAGTGAGATGCGGCCACCACGAGCCCAAAGCCGATGGCCAGCAGGCTGGGCACGGGCAGCAGGGCATATGACACGAAAGTGACCAAAAGGAGCTGCCAGACGCCCTGTTGGGCAGCCGCCGGCCCCGCAGCGTGAGCACTGGTGGGGCCGCCCAGCGTAAAAGGACAGCAGAGCAGCGCAAAGGTGAGGCTGAAGAACAGCGTGAGCTTGCCGATCTGCTGCAGCTGGGGCACCTGCAGGTACTTGACGTTGGTGACCACGAACAGCGAGAGGAAAAGGACGCAGTGCACCGGGTGCGAGCCCTTGGCCAGGTCGGGCGCGGGGCCGGGGCCGCCCAGCAGCTCTGCTAGCGCCAGCGCGCCCGCCAGCAGGCTGAGCACCGCCAGCGCCTTTAGCGTTGCCGCCTGCTCCAGCCTCAACGTGTAGGTGCGGAACAGCGCCTCCAGCTCGGGGCACGCGAACTCTTCGTTGCACGCCCGGAGCCCGCGCCGGCCACCCGGCCCGGCC